ACTCGTCCAAGCAGTCACTGCAGAGTCGGGAATGACTGAGCGCAGATTAAAAAAAAAAAAATTGATACTACACAGATTCACCCCCTACTATTATCAGTGATTCTAGGAGTATCATCATTTAGTTACATCCATATACATGTAGCACTGCTAAAATTGTAAGCACATGGTTCAAATGGAGTAGTATGGATTGGGCAAAGCCATTTTTGAAAGCCGTATTGTTCACATCAGGTGGTCATAAAAAAGGATTCCTCTGTGGCTAATCATGAATTAAAGTAAGGTATTCACAAATGATTAACTGAAAATTTTAACACTGGATATTACTTTTTAAATCTGGTTACTCTAATTCATTCTCAATTTATATCAGTATCTTTAATTATATATTTTCATTTATTAATTTCTCCATTAGACCAACCTTGAGTCTCATGTTCTAATTACATAATATTCCCTAACTGCATTACAGTACACTTTGTCATCATGGAAAACATATGTTGTATCCATATGTTTGCTTACTACATAACTGAGTACAAAAAATACATGCACGTATGTAATAAAAGTGAATATATAATAATCATGCAAAGAGACATCAAAACCTTTTCTATCACACTCCCCATCCTGAAAACCCTTTATCAAGCTCCCCCAGCAACTTCTGAGTGTACGATGGCATTGCTCTGCTTTCTTAAACTGTGGATGCAGGATGAACAAACAGCATTCTTGCTTAATGACACATGTTCTTCCTTGAGGGCCTTGATTTACTGCTACTAGGACCTCAGTGGTAGCATTCAAGGACTCTAAAATAAATTTAAGAATTCATTAGTTTTAGTCATAATATGTCCCACTCCAACAAAGGGTGTTAAAGATAGCTCATAGTTCCACTTTCCTAAAACACTGCTTTTTGGCCATCTATCCTTTCTGTCATAAAAATCCTTATCACTATCATAAAACTCTTGTCACTGGTTAGATAGGATAAAGAAACATACTTCTTCTTTAACTCTTTTCTAAAAGAGTTTGACTCAATATGCAATAAAAATCCACCATGCCCATGCGCTGGTAATGCAGAACAAATCCAACAATTATAATGATCATTTATTGAGGCATACTTATGCTAGATGTCTTTGTGACCCAATGATCTACGGCAAACGGAAATACAGGGCAGGCTCTAAAAAGATGCTTATCTGGGAAACAAAAAAACAGTTAGAAACAATAACAGGTTTACTGCTAGCACTTCTGCCTTTGCTAGCTTGCCATCTGGTTTTCCGTACCAGACTGTCCTTCCTGGGGATGTAAATCCACCCTGACCCTTCAAGGTATTATCTTCCATCTTATCTATCTCTTTTACTGGGAAATCAGAACTTTTTCCAGAATTAGCTGGGCAGTTCCATCTCTTCTCTCAAGAGACATGTTGCTGTCCCCTCCGTAATATAGGACAGCCTGAAGTTCTCCTCTGTAATCTGGGTCTATCTAACCCTGCTTAACACCAGGATTCCCTTTACAACCAAACTAGACCTGAGGGCAATCCAGCCATCAGCCTTTGGTGCAGCTATGACCATGGATCTACAAGGACAGAGATTTAACTCAATTGCTTTTTGAGTGCCCCTAATAGGCGTGAGTACATTAAAGCCAAAGTGGGGGCTTCAGGGGACATTCAAATCATTTGCAAAGGGGAAGGCAAAGTTGCTGAGTTTACCAGCTGCCTCTCCCAACCATTTAATGTTTTCCAGAGGGGCTGTTGGAAGAATGGGCTCATTATTAACTTCTTCCAGGAATGTCACCGATCCCCAAATTACCATTTGTTCAATGTTTAATGGTGATACATTAAGCACACTTCTCTGTTGTAAATACGCTTTCCATTTTACTTCGGAGTTATTTATCCACCCCTTTATTGTTGTTGTTGTTCAGTTGTTAAGTTGTGTCCAACTCTTCGTGACCCCATGAAACATATTGCGCCAGGCCTTCCTGC